TTATTCAAAAAATTAAATCAGCCCTCGAACTTACATAAAATTGCAAATCACCCCTTATATAGGAAGTTCTGTCCGGCCGTCTCTATTTAGGATTGTTCCCGATAAATTTTTTTGATAAAATCTTTTGAGCATTTTATTCATTAAGTCTAGTTTAATCATACCAACTTTCAACTAAAAATTCAATCGAGAAGGTAGTCAAATTTTTTTTAGATAACTGTGCGGTTAAACAACGCCGTATATTTCAGAACATTATTAGTGAAATTTGGTATGAGTAAACTAGACTTGATGAATAAGATGCTCAAAACATTTCATCAAAAAAATTCATCGGGAACATTCCCAAATGGAGACGGCCGGACAGAGCCTCCTATATAAGGGGTGATTTGCACTTTTTATGTAAGTTCTAGGGCTTATTTGATAGTTCTCCCTAAATAAGTTGTTATAGAAAATAATTTAATAAAACCAGTTTGGTTTTTATTTAAAAATTGTTATGGAACCGATCAAAACTAAATGGTTTGATACTTTGCTTCTTACTTTATCAGTTCCTAAGAATAAAAAAATTATCATGCAAAAAATTAACACAATTAACAATTTAAATTACGCAGACACAAAAATGTTGAAAATTCAAATCATAAAGAATCAATACTTTTTTTACTCATTTCCTTTTTTTAAAGTTCTCATTTACGGCATTCGAGTCGAGCTGAGGTTTTTCTCTTTCTCTCTCTAGAGCCGCCGTCTAGGTTGGCCTAGGGCTTGTTCGGTGGCGGTTTCGGCCACAGCACCGGGGGTTCGAAGTTTGGATTCTGCTTTCGGATTGTTTGGATTTTGCTTTCGGATTGTTTGGACTTTTTGTGAGATCGGAATTCAGCGATGTCGGCTCGGGATGCAGCAGCAAGAGATTCAGTGAGTCCATTGGTTCGCCTCGGTTCTGCAACAGCAAGGGATCTGCTGCTCCATCAACGAGTCCGCTTGGAGGTCCCTTGTTCGGCGGCAACCCTTGTTCTTGGAAGGAGGAAGATGAGTGCAGGTACATGGAATTGCAGAGGACTTGGTAATCTGGCTACAATTCAATGCCTGACGGATCAACACAAAAGTTTGACTATGGAGGCGGTTGAGCGGCGGGCACGTCCCCCTCCTGAACTGTCGCCATGGAGTGCAAGCAATTCAAGTCTAGGGTGATCGTGTGGTTTGGCAGGCTCGGACAGGGGACCTACTTTATCGGTTTTATTTTATCCTTTAGTGATTATTTATTTTGTTGTGTGCTTTCTTTTGGTTTTGATATTCCTGTTTGTAAGGCGTTGATTTTGGATGTGGGGGATGAGAGGGATAAGGTAACCGTTTTTTTGCTTTAGATTTCCCACTGATGGATCGGCGAATTATATTGCTTCACAAGATCGGAGGTGATTAATTCCGCGTTTGGTTCGCGGGATAACGGTTGTCAGATTTCTTTTTATCATTTGACCCATAGCCTGAATTATCTGTTATCAATATAAGCCGAATTCTTCCAAAAAAAACATCAATACTTTTTGGAGTTCCAATAACTTTGATCATCAAAGCCCAAATTTGATTTTGTGAAATCTGGGATGACACCCCATCCCCGAGGGCCCCCCAACACCGACCGGACGGCACGATGGGAGGATGTAAATTGGACTATAATCACAACCTGACAGATAGAGAGCGGGGCTCTGTCCCCGGTACTTGCAGAAGCCCTATGCATTTTTCAGCATAGTAACTCCTCATCGCAGTTGCCGGGATTCGAACCCGAGACCTAACCCTTGTGGCACTCCCTCGCTACCAGTTGAGCTACGCCCAACTTTTTTTTTGTCACTTTTTTTTTATTTTGTGAAATCTTAATAGAATGAAACATTTTTTCTATTTTTAATTTAATTCAAAATTGATATTATTTGATATCGGTGAAAGTTGGATCATCACTGTAGCAAAATAAGATGTTTGGTGCAAGTCCCTCGAGACTTAAAAATATATTGAAGACACGTGTAGAAATATGAATATCATTACATTTAAAACAATATTAGCATAATTTATCATAAATTTAATCATTACAGTCATCTTGAATATGATAAAGAAAAATTGTATGGAAGCAACACATGTTTATTTGGGTTGTTTGTACAATTATGAAATTTGCAAAGGGTTGACAAACTTACATACCATAACATTCATTTCAATAATTACTCGCATTGCATACCAAAGTTGACAAACTTACATATCATCCCTTACATATACTACGTTGTAGTATAAATAACTTGCATTTATTTCGTTGTAAAAGGATTGACAATCTTGCATACTGTAACATAAACTTCTCTCTAGTTTCTCTATAATCTCTCAGTTCAGAATAGGGGGTCGGAGCCTAGGCTTAGCAAAGGGGCGATATAATCGTTTCAAGTCCATAATTGAGTTATTGAACTCGGTCCACTTTGGTTGCTGCCTTCATACTGCTTTAATCAAACACTCAGTTATTCTTCACGGTATAGGATCCTATGAAAGCCCAAATCATTGAACCACGAGGACTTAACCTCTCAACACATATGTACTGAACGAATCGGGTTTTAACAATTCAGTTTAAGGGTTCTCTAGTTCATGATTCCAAAGCCCCACCAACATAAAAAGACGAGTATTGGTAGCTTTAAAATTGTTTATAGAGAAAGACTCATATCATCATTCTTTTTCATCCTCTTCCTCCTACATGTTCCTATTCATGAAAGTCACAATCCATTAAAGATGTCTATTTAGTGTGAGGCTATTCCCTAAATATTATCAAAATAAAAAACATGGATGAAAATATAATTAAAATCACTATGGGTGCATCATTGTGGTCACTATAATATAAAGTTGAACAAAATATTAGTCATCAAAATTACTATCATACTCATCACTTAAGTGTAAAGTCTTTCTTGCCACATGCATTCCTTTTAATCTCACACACACATACACACACATATACATGTGTTTGTCTCCTGTGTGTACATATATATACAAAGAATGTAATAGGTATCGAGACTCACTCTTGTAAGGGGGCTTCAACAAATTTAGAATGTAGTATTAGTTATAGGTTACTTTTTCAAGATTCCAAAAGGTATATAACTTTTAGATTCTCTAATTTGTAGACGGTTCTGGTAATATGTGGTTATGCTACATTAGATTATATTATCATAATAGTGTATGATAACTTAATAAGGGATTTATTTAGTGGTTAGATCAATTTTGCTTTTATCATGGTTAAACTTCTCATTGAAAAATGAAACAATTTATTAAGATAATAATACTACCTCCTTCCCGAAATGAAGTTAATGTTCACTATTAATTGGTCAACTTAAATCACTCTTAATCTTTTACTTTGTGTATTAAATTTTTATCAAATTTAAATTTTCTTGATCAGGCTTTGTAGCAGTTTTAATGTTGTTTCTGAATATGTAAATTTTATTTATTAAAAATAATCCGTGTGTGAACAGCGATCAAGTTGCTTTATCATCAGTCAAACATCGTAAACCGAATGAGAACTTCTTTAAGGAACGGAGAGAGTAACAATTATATAAGTTAATTAGAGTATATTTTCATAAAGTAATTTTGATGGATTTAAACACAACGAGATCATTGAAGATGATTGTTATGTTATAAGCATATTAGTTTTACTATTTGATGATTACTATGTCTTTTAAGAGTGTTTATTATTATTATTATTATTATTATTATTATTATTATTATTATTATTATTATTATTATTATTATTATTATTATTATTATTATTATTATTATTATTATTATTATTATTATTATTATTATTATTATTATTATTATTATTATTATTATTATTATTATTATTATTATTATTATTATTATTATTATTATTATTATTATTATTATTATTATTATTATTATTATTATTATTATTATTATTATTATTATTATTATTATTATTATTATTATTATTATTATTATTATTATTATTATTATTATTATTATTATTATTATTATTATTATTATTATTATTATTATTATTATTATTATTATTATTATTATTTCCTAAAATCTAAATGTCATATGGACGGAGTCCATGTTTAATTTTTTAGACTCGTATCCCTAGAAATGGACCCTTGCCCTACAAATGGTCTTACACAGTGTCTTTTTTAGATGAACTTTTTGATGTATCCACTTTTGTACGCATATTTGCACACTGCCTATGTAGCGTGTACACAGACAATTGAGAGGCAAATATTGCCTTCTTCATAACGAAGTGTTTCTGTACACACAAAATAGGGGTGTCTAGAAAAGTCGGTATAAGAGCATCTCTAATGCGTGGCTTTCGACATTGATAAAATTGTTACACGTGTCAATAAATCTATGGAATGTCTATCCACATGGGACGAATGTCAAAATCCAAATAATAAAATCGTCAAAAACTTCTCCAATGCGTTTATGTTGACGTCCAAACTTTTTGTCCAATTTATTAAATTAAAATTTAATTAACCATACCTATCTTCTGTAACTGATTCTAGGAGAAACTCTTATCCAATTGTCCTCTTCCGTAAGCCAATTCCATTCATTCCTTCTCTATTTTTTTTAAAAAAAATTCATTAATTGAATAATAAAATTTTCAACATTTCTTTAATTGTGCACGTCATCCCCTGGCATCAATTGTTTCCTCCCACCAAAAAGGTCTAGTATGATAAATAATGGTTTTTCTTGCTTGAGGAAGGAGGAGATGTGCGAGTAACAACAAGTGGATGTAGAAGAGTACAGTTGAGGCGCTAGAGTTTTAGCAGACGTGCACCATTTTTTTTCAAAGTTCCGAACTTTTATGCCCACGATGAGGTTTTTTGGATGAGTCAGCCTGTTTAACAGACTGTTTAGATGAGACAGTGGTCTTCACACTGTCATCATTTATTTCTGACACTTCAGCATCACACTACCGAAGAAAGAAAGCGTTGGAGTAGAAATATAAGAGCGACCTTCTTATTGTGTGACGTGGCCATTTTTCTTAATGTCAACACCAACGCATTAGAGATGCTCTAAAGTGTTTATAAAGATATTTTTTCTTTTTAGATAGGGTGAGTAAAGTTTTGATTGGTGGATTCCTAGGCCAAGAGATTGGTGGATAATTGTTGGCCGACGTTTTCTGCTGAAAGAGATGGCGAACCAGGAAATGGATTTTCATTTCAAATAAAACCGGAGAAACTAAACGGCGATCTTTTTTTATCGTACTCAATGGCGGCGGTATCGTCAACGGCGTACCATGGAAATCCGGAGCTCAGCTTCAAGCCTCGACTTCGCCGCTTGTTTCCGTCTAATGTCAATGCCACCAGCCAGAGGTCTGTAGCTATGGCGTCCATAAAGAAGGTACGAAATAACAAAATCGTACAGTAGTTGCTAGGCTCTGTATATTTCTATAACCTTAAACCAGAATTACTTTTGAATTCATTCAGAAAGTGGTAGACTTTTGTCATTTCTTTAGCCCTGCAAAAACTATAATCATAAACGAAATTTAGAGCCCTTCTTTTAGCAATGAAGTTGGATTGAATTACAGAAAAATTATACTTAAAATATATTTTAATAATAAACTAAAGATAAAAATATATGAAAAATAGTTATGATGTTCTCAATTGGACCTAAAAGTAATTCTAACTTTGATTATTGAATTAATTGAAAGTGTGGGATTAGAAGTTGCGTACTTGGAGAAAAAATTGGTTGATAAAACGGATAAAGTGAAAATAAAGTTTACAAAACCAGCTCTAAGAGTAAAACATGGGCACATCGTAAAACACACTAGTACATTATTATAATACTCCGTATATTATTAATTTATTATCACTACTGCTACTAAAACCAGACTAAAATTTTCAGCAGTAAGAATAGCCTCTAGCCTTTTGAAATGCTACTAAAACAAATCCTATCAGTATCAATACAATGAGGAGCCCGTTTGGAGACCCCTTTTTTCGGCTTATCAGGCTTATCAGCCAGCTTTTTCACCAAACACGTAATTTTTACTTTCGCGTGCTGAATTGTGTAATAAGCAGAAAAAGTAAGGTTGGAGTTACTTTTCTGGCTGTATTGGCTGAAGTTACTGTAGATGACCATTTGAGCTATTTTTACATGTAATTTTTTCTTTATTTTATTAATAAAATATATTTTTAAAATATTTTTTTCTAGAATCAACAGAATCAGCCAAAACAGCCACTTCAGCCAGAACTTCATAAATTTCAGCAGAAACAGCCAAAACAGCCGATTTTCGTGCTACCAAACGGGCTCGAGGTATGCAAAGGTAAATTTAGTTATTAAATATGCAGTCACTAACTCACTAAGTTTTGTGTAAATTTGGCGTATCCAAAACTTAAACTTAATGGGAAGGGAGTAACTAAGCCTGCCATTTTGTTCATATAAATGTGTACTGATAATTTCACATCGATAGTGCATAAAAACTCTTATTGGCGATTAGTTTCAACTCTGTTGCATTGCATTTTATCTCTATTAGGATGTTTTTACTTGGACTGTAATTTGTCCCGAACCAGCTCAGACCAGACCAAACCTAAACAGACCAGACCAACAAGTTACAGTCCAAGTAAAAGCATCCTTACTCTAATGTTCAATTAATTCGAAAGTAAAGTTTGTATCTACTTGAAGCTTCAATATTTATTATATTCTAAACGTGTTCAAACTTGAAGGCTAAGATGAGCTCCGATAAGAATGAGAATGGAAACCTCTTGTAGAATAGAATATAAAAACCGTGATGGTAGCTGTCACATTTTTACTTGATTTGGAAGTAGCTTTACAGCCCGTTTGGTATGCCCATGGCTTCTATGCCTTCAAAGGTTATAAGTAATTACCAGACACCCTGGCATTGGGGTATTGGACTGAATGACTGATAGGGGTTTTGAGCCAAAACTATAGGTACAGCCGGGGGGCGGGAGAGGGACTCGTCCCCGCAAAAGAATCACTTGTATCAATACAACTTATACAACCACAAATACTTATAAATTATTAAAAAAACAATTAAATGTGAAATTTTTAAAAATTTTGGCCCCTCCAATGCCTAACTTCTGGCTCTGACACTGACCAAAACATTGACTTACTGGCTATTGCTAAAATTTTACTCTTAGGTTGGTCATTGTTACTAAAATGAAATGTCTCCTTGTTTTTCCCCATTAAAAAAATTACTGTATATCATGTTTCAGGTAATTACACATCAGATCAATCATTTTAACTAAAAAAATCCACTTTCAACTCATATGAAGTATTATGTAGTTAATTCATCCTTTTCAGCTACCACTTGAACTGTCTTTTAAATTGCTGGTAATCTTAAATAGAGTACTCATAATTGTATATTGGATGCTTTTACTCGGACTGTTTTCATCCCAGATCATACCAGACCAAACTTGGACAGTTATAAAATACACAGAGACCAGACATTTACCAGACCAGATCAAATCAGACCAGACCAGAAAATTCCAGCCCAAGTAAAAACATTCATAGTAGCCATTGACCAGGATTCGTGATGTGAAAAATTCAGGTGAACAAGTATGATCCGAGTTGGGAAAAGAAATGGTTCGGTGCTGGGATATTCTATGAGGCAACTGAAGATGTGGAGCTCGACGTCTTCAAAAAGTTGGAAAAGCGTAAGTTCTTGAGCAACGTGGAGAAGGCAGGATTGCTCTCAAAGGCAGAGGGTCTTGGTTTCACTCTCTCCTCTATAGAGAAGCTAGGCTTGTTCTCCAAGGCTGAAGAGCTCGGTCTGCTAAGCCTGCTCGAGAAAGTGGTTAGCTTGTCACCATCTGCATTGGCCTCAGCGGCGCTGCCCGTTCTTACGGGCGCCATTCTGTGCATAGTGTTGATTCCAGATGACTCCGCTGAGCTTGTGGCTGTACAGGCAGTTTTGGCTGGAGTGCTCGGGGTAGGAGCTGTTGGGTTGTATGTTGGGTCTGTGGTTTTGGAAGGGTTGCAAGAAACTGAATGAAAAGGCTCTCATAGGAGTCGTAGCATAGGAGGACCAGTGCCATAAAAATAGCGGGTCTGTTGTTCTATTCTACTAGTATAGTACCCGTGCATACGCACGGGATAGAGCGGTTGGTGCATATATTTTTTACTCATGATCTAATTAAATATTAAAATAGAAACAACTTTTTAGGATTCTACATTTTCGAAAAAAATTGTAATTCAATCAGCTAATACCTTAAAATATATATTCAATGAAGAGTATATTAGGAAAAATTAATTGACACTACTCATTAGAATTTGCTGCTTATTCATTTCCATGATTAGATTAATTTTAAAATTAAATAATAATTCTAAAAAAGTGAGTACAATAAATATTAAAATCAATGAATATTAGTTAAATAATAACTCCATTCATTAGTAAATTCGTGCTAACATATGTGAGAGAAAATTATTCTGCTCAATTCTTAGTTGGCTTATCTTGTTATATCTAAAACAATTACATATGAGAAAAAAAAATTTCACTCAATTGTTAGCCTTATTATCTTACCTTATACCTAAAAGCACTATGTGTGAGAGAAACAAATATGTTCTTTAATTGTTAGCCGACTTATCTAATACTACAAAGAACTACATATATGATGATATCCTCGCTCAATTGTTAGCAACTTTATCTTCTTATAACTAAAAGCACTATATATGAGAGAGAAAATTTTCACTTAATTATTAGCAAGCAAGCTTATTTTGTCATATCTAAATAGACTACATATGAGAGAGAAAGTTTTCTCGTTCAATTATTAGTCGACTTATGTTATACCTAAAAGCACTACATATGGAAGGGTAAATTTTCATGCTCAACGGTTAGCTGGATTATCTTATATACGGAGTACTTAAGAACTACCCGTAAGAGTGAAAGTTCTCTCACTCAATTGCTAGCAAGTTTATCTTCTTAGCTTCTTATGCCTAAAAATACTACATATGAGAGAGAAAGTTATCTTGCTCAATTGTTTAGTCTTCTTATCTTATACTCAGAACTACATATGAGGGAGAAAGTTATTCCTCTCAATGGTTAGCAAGCTTATCTTCTACTATGTAATACCTAAAAACACTACAGATGAGCAATAAAATTCTCCCGCTCAATTCTCCTTCTCAATTGTTAGCAATCTTATCTTCTAATACCTAAACACACTACATATGAATGAAAAAATCTTCTGATCTCGCTCAATTATTAGTAAGCTTATCTTTTTTTTTTTATATCTAAAACTCTTACATATGAGAGAGAAAGTTCTCGAGCTCAATTGTTAGCTGGCTTACCTCATACCTAAAAACACTACATATGAGGGAGAGAAATTATTTCGTTCAATTGTTAGCTGGATTATTTTATACCTAAAAGAAATATATATGAGAGATAAAGTTCTTTCGCTCAATTGTTAGCAAGTTTATCTTCTAATAACTAAAAGTAGTACATATGAGATAGAAAATTCTCCCGCTCAATTGTTAGCCGGCTTGTCTTATACCCAAAAGCACTATATATGATACAAAAAATCCTCTCTCTCAATTGTTAGTTGGATTATGTTATAGTTAAAATAACTGCTTATTGAGAGAGAGAAAAATATCTTGTTCAATTGTTAAGACGATTTATGGCTTAATCTTTCTTATACCTAAAAGCACCACATATGAAAGAACCAATTTTTCCGCTCGATTGTTAGTTGACTTATATTACTATCTTACTGAAAAGCACTACAAATGAGAGACAAAGTTATCCCGCTCAAGTGTTAGCCAACTTATCTTATACCTAAAAACATTACATATGATAGAGAAATTTTGGCCGCTCAATTGTTAGTCGACTTATCTTATACTTAAAAACACTACAAATGAGAGAGACACTTATTCCGCTCAGTTCTCATCCAACTTATCTTATACCTAAAAACATTATATATAAGAGAGAAAACTATCCCGCATCCTTAAAGTTGTAACCTCACTCAGTGTTGCATTTACTTTCACCTGATTCCTTGAAATTGATGAAATTTTGACAGAAGTGACTGAATTGATTGAAATTGATTTTTTTGATTTATGGATGAATTTAGTTCAAATTATATATTATTAATGAAGCAAATAAAAGATTATAGGAAAAGTGGTTAAAAATTATTATGTACAGTAATTTCAGCCAAATAAGTCATTTTTTTTTTATAAAATTAAACTTAAATAGATCAAAGCACTTAAAAAAAACCAAAAATGATGAATATATATTTTCATATTTGCCCCTTTTTCCTTAAACATAAAGAATAATAAATTGAAATAAATTTAGAAGTTTTGTTTTATTAGCACTCGAGGTGTTTATCATTTCAATTTGCTAATTTTATATATTCTCGAGTGACATTATAACAGGAAGAAATATGGTTCGTAATAGTTTTATAGTTTAATGAAGGGAGTATAATAGAAAATGAAAATAACATTAGAGTTTTATTAATCGTAGTGTTGAAGAATTCAAATCATTTATTGTCTTCCATTTAGACCAACTCAAAACAGAAAAAAAAAAAGACCAACTTAAATTTTATTATTAGAACTAATTAGATTTTCATTTGCGGATTTTTTATATATCAAACCAGTGCACATCAAATTATAAAATACTTTAAGAAAGTTTTCTTAAATAAATTTTAATATTTTTATATTTTTCCTTCCATGGTCTGATTTTAATTTTAAAGACCGTTTAGAAGTACTGAAATTAGTTGAAACTGTTGAAATGGATGAAATTCTGAGAGAAGAGGTTGAATTAGTTGAATCTTCTGGTGTATGGATACATTTAATTTAAATTACTTTTATTAATTAAATAAAGAAAAACATTATCTGAATTTTAAGCATAATTATAGAGATTGTTAATAAATTATATTTTGATATATTCAAAATTGATCTCATATGTAAGATCACAAAAAATTATGTGTTTTGATTTATTTATTTTGTAGAAATTGGATTAAAAATGAAACAGTTTTAACACTTTAAAGAAAAACATTACTCCCTCTGTCCCTAAAAGAAGTTTCATTTCGCTTATCGAGGGTCAACTTAAATCACTCTTAAACTCTTACTTTTTATATCAAAATTTTATAAAAGTTGAATTATTTTTAGCAGGCTTTGTAGCGGGTTTAATGTAGTTTCTGAATATGTAATTTTTTTTTACTAAAAATAATCCGAGTTTTCACAGGGATCATTTAACTTTATCATCGGTCAACCTTCGTAATCCGCAATTGGAACAACATTTAGGGACAGAGGGAGTATATCAAATGTAGCTAAAAATGATCACTTACAATAACTTCCCCAATTCAGAGAGCAAAATAGATCTAAAAATGTCTATAAATAATTTTAAGCATAATTATAGAGACCGTTAATAAATTATATTTTTATATATTCAATATTGACCCCATATGAAAGATCACAAAAGTTTATGAATTTTGATATATTTTTTTGTAAAAATCGGATAAAAATGTCTTAAAAGGCACATGTACCACTGAATTAGTACCCGTGCATACGCACGGGAAGAAGCAGTCGATGCATATATTTTACTTATGATTTAATTAAATATTAAAATTTAAAAAAAAACATTTAGATTTCTACATTTTCGATGAAGAGTATATTAGGGAAAGTTAACAGACACCACTCATTAGAATTTGCTACTTAATAATTTTCATGATTATAATAAATACTATGTATTAAAATTAATACTACTCTAAAAAAGTGGTTACAATAAGTTAGTGACATGAAGTGAATACAATAAATATTAAAATTAATGATATTACTTAAATAGTGATTTGTTACTCATTGGTTAAATTAGTGCTAACATATGAAAGAAAAAGTTACCTTGCTAAATTGTTAGATGATGTTTTATCTTATAAGTAAAAGAGCTAAGTATGTATATGAGACATAATTCGCCCACTCAATTGTTAGCCAGCTGGCTTATCTTATACGTTGTATTAGAAGAAACTCTTCCGCTCAATTTTTAGCCATATTATCTTCTTATATGTTGTATTAGAAGAAAATCTTCCGCTCATAAGTAAGGTCTACTTATGAGAGAAGAAACTCTCCCGCTCAATTTTTAGCCATATTATCTTCTTATATACCTAAAAGCACTGCATATCGGAGAGAAAACTTTCCGCTCAATTGTTAGTCAGATGATCATATACTAAAAAGAAAAAATATGAGAGATAAAGTTATTTCTCTCAATTGTTAGGAATGTTATCTTCTTATTTTCATATACTTAAACACAGTACATATGAGAGAGGAAATTATCTTGTTCAATTGTGAGCCGACTTATCTTATATTGATACTTAAAAGAACTACGTTTGAGAGAAAAAATTATCCCGATCAATTGTTAGTAAACTTATTTCTAATCTTCTAATACTTAAAAACACTACATATGAGAGAGAAAATTATCCCGCTCAATTGTTAGCAAGCTTATGTGGTAATACCTAGAAGCACTACATATGAGAGACAAAATTTTCCCGCTCAATTGTTGGTAAGTTTATCTTCTTTAACCTAAAATCACTACACACGAGAGAAAAAATAACGCTCAATTGTTAGCCGGCTTATCTTCTAACTAATGTAATACCTAAAAGCACTACATATGAGAGAGAAAATTCTCCCGCTCAATTGTTAGCAAGCTAATGTGGTGGTACCTAGAAGCACTACATATGAGAGATAAAATTCTCATGCTCAATTGTTAGAAAGTTTATCTTCTTTAACCTAAAATCACTACACATCTAATACCTAAAAACACTACATATGAGAGAGAGAATACTCTCGCTCAATTGTTAGCAAGCTAATGTGGTGTACCTAGAAGCACTACATATGAGAGATAAAATTCTCATGCTCAATTGTTAGAAAGTTTATCTTCTTTAACTTAAAATCACTACACATGAGAGAAAAAAATAGCGCTCAATTGTTAGCCGGCTTATCTTGTAACTAAAAACACTAAATATGAGAGACAAAATTTTTCCGCTCAATTGTCAGCAGACTTGCCTTATAATTAAAATAACTACATATGAAAGAGAAAGTTTTCTCGCTCAATTGTTAGCAAACTTATTTTCTCATACCTAAAAGCACTACATGTGAGAGAAAAACTCTCCTGCTCAATTTCCCTACTCAACTGTTTGCAAGTTTATCTTCTAGTATCTAGTAGATACATATGAGAGAGAGAGAGAGAAATTATTTCGCTCAATTATTAGCAAGATTATCTTCGTATAATTAAAAAGCTAAAACCACTACATATGAGAGATAAAATTCTCCCGCTCAATT